GGAGAGGTATCTCTGGGGCCTCTCTTTTGATAAGGAGATGGTTTTTTGAGTTCCACATCCTTTAGTTTTCCGGCTGCGAATTTGGCTGCCAATTGTCGTTGGAGGGCCCAATATTTCTCGGTTGAGTGCCCTTTCTGATCGTGGTAAGAGCAGTGTTTATTTTCATCATAGCCTTTTGACCAGGGGGTTTTACTTGTCGCGGCAACAGGTTTTTCCTGTTGAGCTTCTTCGATTGCATAAGAATGCTCTCCCTGGGTCTGATTATTTCGGAAGCTCTCCTTTTTAGAGGATCCTTTTGTTTCCGAGGCTTCACCATTCGGGTGATTATGAGATTTCTTATGGATTTTATCTAGTACAGCTGTTTCCTCTTCCAAGGTAATATATCTAGATGCTTTGTGAAGAGCATCATCGATAGTTGGGGGAGGATTGAGCGTTAGCTCGAACCAGAATTCCGATTTGTACCAGAGGCCTCTTCTAAGGGCTTCGATGGCAACCTGGTGATATCTCATATTTTTATAGGTTTTTAGTATCCTATTTTTGTTCATTTGATCATTTAGATTGCATATTATATGTATATAGAGCATACATTTGTTCATTTGCATAAAACAGGGTTTAAAATGCATATTTGGAAGTTTGAGGTGAAATTGCAAGGTTATCTATGCAATTATGGAAGTTTTGGATCAGAAACCAAAGGCCACGAGAATACAGGGACCAAGATTGCAAATCAGTAATATTCGCTGGGTTTATAATGCACAATCAAAAGTCCAGGGGTTGATTCAAGAGGGTGTTTCTGCACTTTACAAAGTTTGGAGCTGATATCAAAATAAGCAAAACTTAAGGACCTAGGTTGCAAAAAGGGAAAAAGTGGCCATGGGAGCTCACGAGCTTTTGTGTTGCAGATCCCGACGGCGACGATGAGCACGACGGTGAGCCTACCATGACGAGACTCGAGCACCGGAGCACGAGCTCGACCCAAATACGACGGAGATGAGCACGGCTAGGAGAGAGAAACGAAGACGGCGTTAAGCTTCCATGGTGGATAGCGTGGAGGAGGGCTCCGACTTGGATCCGTGACGGAAAGCGACGACGGAGGTGACCTTGACGTCGTGGAATAGCAGAGGAAGGAGAAGCGACGGAGAGAAGCTTTCAACAATGGTGGATTGAATGACGAGAGAGAAGCCACCATTGGAGAGGATTGAGAGGTTGATTCCACCGCGGGTTAACCACCGCGGGACGAAGCTAGACGCGGCCAAGAGTCGACTAAACCACCAGGGAAGTATCGCGGGTGACACCGCGGCGAGACGAGGTCGCGAAGGGAAGGGGATGACCACGGCTCGTGATCGCGGGTGGTTGATGGCCGCGGTGGAGCTAACTATGCATGGTTTGACCGGTTTATTCCGGTTTGACCCGGTTAAATCTGGTCAAACCAACTCGAATTTAGACCTTCTATATATAGTTTTAGATCCCAAAAACTCAAATGTATCTCATTTTCTCTCAAGAACTTGTTTATAATTGTAAAAGCTTGAATCTTTTTATCATTTTAAGGAAGTACTTCATTTTATATCTTGTTTCTCATTCTCATTAACATGATTATCCTTGAATCCATCATAGATCTAAGGTTTCTCATGGAGATTAGAGAGTAGACACTTTTAGAATTCATGGGTTAGGTAGATTTAGGGTGATTAAGTGTAGATCTAAGTGTTTCCTTGCTAGTAGAGTGTGTTTAATGCTATTCTAGACTTGATCACTATAGGATTGAACCTTAGTCATTTTCTGCCCACAAAGTGTATGTTTAAATGACTGAACCAACTCTCATTAGCTTTAAGACTACCTAGCCAATAACCATTTGTATCTAAGGGTTTTAGATAGTTATTAAACCTACTCTTAATGATTGCTTGAATTAATTGAGTCAATGACCATTTGTGTTTGATTAATGAAAGCAAATGAGTATTTTTCTAGACCTAGAACTTGCTTAGCTAAGTTGTTTAAGGAACATTTTGATTGAAACTTTAATTGTTTTAGATCAATTGTCTAATCCCATGGATTCTACCTTATCATTTGATTAAAAGTATTTCTTGTGATTGTTTCTAGATTGGATTTGAGATCACCTTGTTTATATTTCTAGGAACATTAGCTTGTTACAAATCGAACTCTCTATTTGCTTAGATTAGGAAAGTTTGTGTACTCTTAGTGCTTAGATCACTAGTTCCCTGTGGTTCGACAATCTTAAATACTACAATCGATTTGCTCTAAGGCATTAAAAAACCCTTATCACCTGCTCGTTGGGATTCGAGAGCTTAGTTCTTACTGCTCTGAATTTTTTGATATAGACCTGTAATGAGTCTCCCATTCCTTGTCTGATTTTTTAGAGGTCGGCCTCGGAAGCTTGCTTTAGGATATGGGTCGAGTACTGCTTCATGAAGGCGTTGGTGAGCTGGTCGAAATTGTCTATTGAGTTCGGCTCAAGGCTAGAAAACCACTCGAGAGCTGTTCCGACCAGGTTTTCGGCGAATGTCCTGCAGTAACCTGCCTCACATTCTTTTCTCGTAAAGTGAGCTTTCACGATAGCTAATCGGAAGGCACTCAAATGAGCCTTAGGATCTGAGGTCCCATCATATTCGGGAATCCTAATTTTTTGGGTATCTCTTATGTAAGAACTAGCGATTATGTCCGTGAATGGGGTCCCACGGGTTTCCTCAATCAAGCTCTCGATTTCGGGAGCTGAGCTCGTAGCCTTGTGGACTTGAGCATTCAACTTTTGGAGAGCTGCATGAGTTTGCTCCATATATCTGCGGATGGCCTCAGGTCCCTCTAGAGGGAGGATAGTTGGGTCATCGTTATGTATCTGACGGGGAGGTTCCTGACGGAGTCGAGTTTAGTCGTTCTCCCAGGTATTTGGTGGGCTAAATTGCTCACTAACTCTTGGGTTGTTTTGAGGGATGCGACCAGTAGGGTGAGCTGTGGGATCAGCTCCCGTCCTCTGGTGACCATCTCGATTCGGAATCGCGCTCCCAGTTTGATAAGTTGAAGCTGATGCTCTTCCCCAAGGAGAGAAAGATATTCCTTCTCCGGACCTGAAAACAGGTGGCGGAGGTGGTAAACGTGTGCTCTATTTAGTAATCCGATTGGGCGCAGAGCTTGTTGTTGCTATGTTACTTCCCATAGCGCTGGTTACGGGTGGACTGAATGCAGGGGTTGTTCCAGCATGAGGTGTCCGGAGAACAGATTCTTGCCCATCTTGAGCAGTACTGTTAGGGGAAAAATCTAGACGTCCGCGAGGGAACGTGGCTGTGACTCCCGAGCCCTGACGTTGCAGTGGCTGGGTTATCTCGGTCAGATTTCTAGTTACTTCTTCGAATCGTTGCTGCCGAGCAGTTAGTTGTTGCAACGTACGCTCATTCTCCTGAGCTCTATCTACCAACTGCACCATCATTCGGCGCATCTCAGATAGCTGAGCCTCTGATTGGTTCAGAGCAGATTGACGTTGAGGGTTCTCGGGGGCTGTTACCCCGGAGCTATTTCCACTGACGGACCTTGGGTTGGTTGTTACAGTGGTTGTTTGGTTGGGTTGAGCATTAGCCAGAGGCTGTTGCTCGGATCGGTGATCGGCGGGTCGAGGCTCTAGGACTTGAAGATTCGAGTCTCTTCTGTTCAGTGAGCCGTCGATCTGGATCACGGGATCGGGGATAGATGGGTTCGTTGCCTGGTTGGATGGATATATTCTCAAGTTACGGAGTAAGGAATTCAATTATCTCGTCCCCACAGACGGCGCCAAATGTGAGGGATAAAACTCACCTCCTAATTTTAGATCAAGTTAAGATTAGAGAAAAGATAATGTGGGTTTAATCCCGTTTAGAACTTAGAGAATGAATTATGATTGTATTGATGTTTTTGGTAAAAAGATGATTACAGATGTCACGATTGTGATTACAAAGAATAAAAAATGTTTTAGAATTCTCGAATGTGTGAAAATGATTCAATCCCCCTTTCTTCCTCATCTTCCTTTCCTTTAAATAGCCTCTGGCCACGTTTAATTGATCTAAGCTTATCTCCAAGATTACTTCCGTGAGTTGAGGGATTTGCAACGGCTCGACTTTGACCGAATCTTACGTCTCTTACTTTGTATCCTGAGCTATTTCTCGTTAGGTCTCTACGAGGGAAACCAGACCTCTTTTCCGTGACCTCTTTCGTTAGTACTTCCAGAGGTAGCCTCCGTTTTCAAGTCAGCTTCATTCTCCTTTCTTTGAAATCATATTCTTTAGTTTTTGAGATACTCATGTACACTTATGTCATTTTTTTTACTGAATTAAATTTCCTTTTTGCTTAAAATTTGTTTAGATAATAAATGTTAATAAAAAGTATTGATATTTTATTTGGGTAGAGATTAGTTTCATGTACTATTTAACCAACGAAAATACCAGCAGTTTCACTGATCATTTTCGTTAGTTATCTTAAACTCTTTTATTCTGTTGATTTTCTGCAATTTTATAAAGACAACTGTAACAAATCATCTCTGGAAGAACAATCAAGTAGAAATAGTCTAGAAGAACTCTGATGACGAGATCGCACCAGAACAACGAAAAAAGATAAGATTTGTATTGACTTATTGGATGGAGTTAAAAGAAGCCAACAAACTGAGATCATGTTCTTGAACAGAGGCCAAAAACATCATGTATCACGTGTATGTCTCTGTCTTATCTGCGTCACGACTGCCACTTGCATATGTCTGAATCCATTTTGCCGTATCCAATTTTATTTAGACATCCTTTTGTAAGTGAGTTTACCAAAAGCATCAGGAAGATGTTTTTTTTATACAGAATATTCGTTTTATATAACCTCAATTTTTTTTCATCCCCTCTTAACTAGCTCAACGTTATCATTAGCTATAGAGGAAACTAATATGCCCCCTAAACATAATGCCGAAAAAGACATAAACATAGCTTTCATCGGCCCCACACAAAGGTTTCTTGTCTAAAATGTCATTATCACCTATAAAAAAGTTATCATCTACATATTCTCGTCCTCTGCTTTTTCCAGTTTGCTTCTTTGTACATTTCTTCAGCCTTCTTACTCAACTCTTGCTTCAGTGTTCGTCTCTCTTCATTTTTGAGGTAGTTGTGGAGACAAAAAAATCTAGAAGTAAGACATACATATATAATCAGGAAGATGTCAAACGCAAGTGATGGCAGCAGAGAAGTCAGGGAACCATTAGTAAACAAGGATATGGCTGAATCAAAACCGGAGCAGCCGTGGATGGTTTATCTTAGCACGTTCGTTGCAGTTTGTGGTTCTTTTGCTTTTGGTTCATGTGTAAGTGTATTTATATATCCACGGAAAGTCACCAGTTTTGTTAGGCTCTTTGATGATATGTTGTTATATTGAAAATGGGGTTTGGCGCAGGCAGGTTACTCCTCACCAGCTCAGGCTGCAATTAGGAATGATCTTTCTCTGACAATAGCTGAGGTTATATCTAATCTTTTTAACTGGATCATCCATTGCCATTGCTTAACCATTACCTGGGATTCTGCAGTTTTCACTCTTTGGTTCTTTACTGACTTTTGGTGCAATGATTGGTGCTATCACAAGTGGGCCAATAGCTGACTTAATTGGAAGAAAAGGGGTCAGGAAAAGAAAATTAAAAGTTTCCAATAGCGTTGGCTTTGTGAAACTATATATAACTACTAACTTACTACTGTTACTTGTGGATTTGTTGTATCCAGGCAATGAGAGTTTCTTCTGCATTTTGTGTTGCCGGTTGGCTAGCAATCTTCTTTGCCAAGGTTCTTACTCAAGACCATAAACCAAAATGCCTATGCTGGTCTCAAAGCTTTGAATAATGTATCTCTCTTTGTGTTAAATGCTGTCCTCATCAAAGGGAGTATTGGCTCTGGATCTCGGAAGACTGGCGACGGGTTACGGAATGGGAGCATTCTCTTATGTGGTGAGCTCATTAATTTAATTCAAACATCTCCTAATCCATTTATGCATTGTAACATTCTGTTAATGATTTGTGTTGATGGTAGGTACCAATCTTTATAGCAGAAATTGCACCTAAAACCTTCCGAGGAGCTCTAACCACACTAAATCAGGTAAAATATCTTCTGTCTCCCTAATATTTTTTTTTTGAGAATTCTTTAATGGAAGCTTCCCTCTTGTGCCACAGATTCTGATCTGCACTGGAGTGTCGGTTTCCTTCATTATAGGGACAGTGGTGACATGGAGAGTCTTAGCACTAATAGGTTAGGAATCTACGTACTTTAAAGAACTTCACTGAGTCAGGGGCTGTTCGTTTCTCCATTTATAATTTCCATTCAGCTGATCCATCTATGTGATCCATCTAAATGATCCATCCAGATTTTAGGGGTTGTTCGTTTTTCCATCTAGATGAGTCATCTAAATGAACCATTTGAATGAATTTCATGTTTATTTCTTTTTTTTTTTATTTCCATTCAAATGAGTTTGATAAACAAATTACATATATACCCTTGTTTTGATTTAATCATATGTTTGCTATTAATTATAACTATAGTAATTAATATTATTTAGTCTAAAATATATTTAAACTAAATCAACCTCCAACAATGCGGGAAAATGCATTTTTGCTGTTTTGGCGGAAAAACGAGATTTTTCGGATTTGGCGGGAAAACGAGATTTTTCGGATTTGGCGGGAAAACGAGATTTTTCGGTTTTTTTTAGGGAAAACGAGATTTTGTGATTTTGGCGGGAAAACGAGATTTTGTGATTTTGGCGGGAAAACGAGATTTTTGGATTTGGCGGGAAAACGAGATTTTTCGGTTTTGGCGGGAAAACGAGATTTTTCGGATTTGGCGGGAAAACGAGATTTTTCGGTTTTTAGGGAAAACGAGATTTTCGGTTTTCTTAGGGAAAACGAGATTTTTCGGATTTGGTGAGAAAACGAGATTTTTCGGATTTGGTGGGAAAACAAGATTTTTCGGTTTTTAGGGAAAACGAGATTTTACGGATTTGGCGGGAAAACGAGATTTTTCGGTTTTTTTTAGGGAAAACGAGATTTTTTGGTTTTGGCGGGAAAACGAGATTTTTTGATTTTTTTAGGGAAAACGAGATTTTTCTGTTTTTTAGTGAAAACGAGATTTTCGGATTTGGCGGGAAAATAAGATTTTGTGGGTTTTTTCAGTTTTCGTGTGTCACGGAATAATTTTATGTTTAAGTTTGTAATTTGTGAATTACAAAAGGGGTATAATAGACATTATACCATTTTGAATGAACCATCTCCATTCAAATGATCCAAATTCGTTCAGCTGAATGAACTTTAAAATTAAGCCTAAATTTCCAAAAAAATACTTCAAATGGATCATCTGAATGAATTGTACTTTTTGTGTCTAAACGAACAAAAAGCTCATCTCCATTCGAATGGATCATTTGAACGTAGAAACGAACAGCCCCTCAGTTGTTAAACTGATATGTTACCGTGTTTTCAGGACTCATCCCATGTGCTGTCTCCATTCTTGGCCTCTTCTGTATCCCTGAGTCTCCAAGATGGCTGGTAAGATCAGAAGAAGCACCACCATGGAAGCTCATGTATCACATTCTTGGTAATTTAGTGAATTTTACATGTGTTTTGCAGGCAAAGATGGGGCGTGATACAGAATTTGAAGTTGCACTGAGGAAGCTCCGTGGGAAGAAGGCTGATATATCAGAGGAAGCAGCTGAGATTCAGGTTTTTTTGAAACTTTCATTTGTTATCTTCTGATCAAGAAACCATCTCTTGATCTTGAAAACATATCTCTTATCATTTCTTGACAGGATTATATCGAAACTCTGGAAAGGCTTCCGAAAGCCAAGGCGCTGGATCTGTTTCAGAGAAGATACATACGCTCTGTTCTTGTAACACCATAACCAACGAAAGATCTAATATTTCACTTTTTTGTAACGTAGCATATGTGACCAGTGGCAATTCTTTGTTGGAGCAGATAGCATTCGGGCTGATGGTGTTTCAGCAGTTTGGAGGAATCAACGGGATCTGTTTCTACACTAGCTCTATATTTGAGCAAGCAGGTTCTCAAATTAGAGTCTTGGATTAGAAACTATACACCTTCAGTCTTGTATCTTAATCTGCCATTTTTGTGTTTCAGGTTTCCCCACAAGACTTGGGATGATAATATATGCTGTTCTTCAGGTCCTATCTTATTTATATAACGAAAACCAATCCAATGTTTATTATGTTCTTAATCTCTCTATTGGTTTGTTAATTAACAACCAGGTTGTAATCACTGCGCTTAATGCACCAATAGTTGACAAAGCCGGAAGAAAGCCATTGCTACTGGTAAAAAAAGAAAAAGACTCTTAGAATGGATTAGGATTATAACTAACACAATGGAGTTTGTGGCAGGTTTCTGCAACAGGGTTAGTGATAGGCTGCTTGATCACGGCGGTCTCATTCTATCTCAAGGTTCATGACATGGCACAGAAAGCAGTCCCTATCCTCGCTGTTGTTGGTATAATGGTAAGTCATTGAGTTTCAAGTTATTTCACCAACACAAATAGCTTGTTAAGATCATATAATGGTGAGAGCAGGTGTATATATCATCGTTTTCAGCTGGAATGGGAGCAATGCCGTGGGTTGTCATGTCTGAGGTAAATACAATTCTTAGCAAGCAAGCAAGCTACCTACTTAAGAAGGATCTTATCTTCTTACTTACCAAACAAGAACTTGCAGATATTTCCAATAAATATAAAAGGAGTAGCAGGAGGCATGGCGACACTGGTGAACTGGTTTGGAGCGTGGGCTGTTTCTTACACTTTTAACTTCCTCATGTCCTGGAGCTCTTATGGTAAACTATATTTAATATGACTTTTTGTCTGAAATTTCCCATAGGTAATATTGAAAAACAATGGTGCAGGAACTTTCATCATTTATGCCGTGATCAACGCGCTGGCCATTGTCTTTGTCATCGCGGTGGTGCCTGAAACCAAAGGGAAGACATTGGAGCAGATACAAGCTGTTGTCAATCCATAGATGAAATCTTAGATATTAAATCCGTATGGGAAATTATCCATCTTGAATGCTTTTAAGATTCTTCACTAAACTATTATCAATCTCTAGTGTCTACTTAATGCCCACTTTGGAGTTCAAACGGACGGCTCAAAATTTTCGATGGTGTGTGACCAGTGGCTGAGGCAGAAAATTATTTTATTGGGGGCATAGATATAAAACTAAATATATGATATTAAATAAAAAATCTCTTAAATTTAAAAAGGCTTACAAAAAAAAGTTTATAAGCATATTCTACGTTCAGCCATGGTTTGAAAGTTTTTCTCCACTGTTTCATTTGTCACTGATGCAAACAAATCCTTTTCAATAAAGCAAACAAGACAATCACTTAAAAATTAATCTCCAATTCGGTGCACGAAGCCGTCTTCACAAACTTCATGGCAGAAAAACATCTCTCAACAGTTGCCGTAGCAACTGGCAAAGTTAGTGCTAACTTCAAAAGCCTGTAAACTAGAGGATGTGCGAGATGTTTCTGTGTTTCAACCATCAAGCGAGAAATATCTCCAAGACTCTCCAAGTTATTAAATCGGCCATCTTCTCTTATATTATCAATGTAGATGTCAAGTTGCTGTTCAAGAGAAGAACGCTCAAAAAAGCTAAAATCATCTTCTTTAACAACTTCTCTTTGTCAAACAACTTGAACGATTTTGTAGGACTTAAAGAAGCCATACAAATAAGGAGTTGGGTGTTTACCTCAGTAAAACGATCATTGAACTCTTGCAGCTACAGATCCAGAACAACATTGAAGCAACTGATCTTATAATGATGTAAATTGGTTATGTTGCTTTTCTTTCGTCCCATCCCAGAACCAACAAAATTGTCTTCCATCGTGATCATTTCAATATCATGTTTCTTACAAAACGAAGAAACTCTAACCATCAGAGAGTCCCATCCATCATCTCTAAGTTTCTGCAGTGCTCGCTTAGTTGATTGGACCAATGAAACAGCATTCAGAATGTCTTGATTTTTTTGTTGCAAAGCCATGGATAAATTTTTCGTTAGTCCCAAAATAAGCAGCATCAACTGCATATAGAAGACAAAATCAAAAGTACACAAGTACTTAATAACACCATATGCTTGTCTTTTCTTTGAGTCATCAAGACCTTCATTCTGGATATATTCAAGCACCTCAATAACAATTGAAAACTCAACCAGACGCACTAGTGTCTTATGATGAGAACCCCAACAAGTATTTGATGGCCTTGAAGAGACCGCTCTTGATTCTGCCCTTTTCCAGTGCTAATTTCACCACTGCTAATTCCTTTCTCGATTTCCTTATGGTATCTTTCTTTAAGCTCATCTTGTCATTTGCAAGAAGCCCCAACTACATTCAATAATGTAGAAATCTTATAAAAAAAATCACCAACTTCAAAATTTTTCTTCGCGACTGCCACTACTACCAACTGAAGCTGATGAGCAAAGCAATGAACATAATAGCTTGAACTGTTTTCCCTTAAAACCAAAGACCGCAGACCATTGAATTCACCTTTCATATTACTCGCTCCATCATAACCTTGGCCCCTTAAATTTTTCATGCTCAAGCCATACTTAGCAAACAAACCATCAATAGCTAGCTTAAGTGTCAAAGAAGAAGTCTCTTTTACATGAACCACCCCAATAAATCTTTCTTTGATTGTTCCATTCTTATCGACAAAGCGTAACACAACAGCCATTTGTTCCTTGTGAGAAATATCAGCAGATTCATCCACCAATAGACCAAAAACACCATGATCAACTTCTTCAATAATAGATTTCACAACTTCTTCGGCAAAACAATGCACGATGTCTTTCTGAATCTGTGGAGAAGTCATTTGGTTATTTTTTGGAGCATTCTCAAAAACAACCTTACTTACCGCTTCGTTCTGGTCTGCGGTGTATCTTATAAGTTCCAGAAAATTTCCTTTATTACCAGCATCTTCTGATTCATCATAAGCACGAAAAGATATTCCTTGTCGCAGCAAATATCTAGAAGCATCAACTGAAGCATTCAACCGAAGACGGTATTCGTTTTTCACGACATCATCATGCTTATAAAAAGCTTGGGCAATGGAATATTTTTGATTCATCAAAGAATCACACATCTTAACAGCAGTATTGTGAAAGCTATTCATACCACCCACATGAGAAGCTAATCTCTCAGACTTATTCCAACTAGAAAACCCTTCAGTCACAAACTTATCATTTCCACCTTGCTTATGTATGTCATCTCGAAACAAGTAACAACACAAACAATAAGCTCTATCGGTCGTTACGCTGTACTCAAGCCAATTACCATACTAATCAAATCAAGCAGGACTAAACCGTCTCAAAGAATTTGAAATCATCTTTTTCGGAAAATTATGACCATACAGTTTACAAGGACCTCTAGCTAGATACTTGCGTCGTACCTCATCTCTTTGATTTGAATCATATGCATTGATTTTTTTCCTTTTAGCAGGATCCCATGGTAAATCGTCCAAATTTTCTTTTAAGGTCTTTTAAGAAATTTTTCCATTGATTTATCTGAAAACAAAAGTGTTATGTTATTAGTTTACATCAAACATAGAATTAAAGAAAAACAAATACTTTAAAAGTTGACTAGATTCATGACTCACCAAGTAATTCATAAAGAAATCTCGTTTGTTTGACAAAAAAATATGAAAGTTGGAAGACGCAGAAATTCTAACGAGAGAGATGATGTGAAAATTTTAGGTTTTGCTAATTATTGGGCTTTGAAAGATAATTCATAAAATACTAAGTGAGCTGGAATACATTATTATTTTCTGATATGTAATTGTGTAAATGGGTTTAAAGTATGGGGGCAAAAAAAATTGTGAGTGGGGTCATAATATAAATTGGGCTTTACGGTACATTGATTTTTTTCAATTTTGTTGGGTTCATTGCCCCCCTCTTTTTGCACGTGGCTCCGCCAATGGGTGTGTCGCGAATTCGTCAGAAGCTTTCACGAAGAATTTCTGAAGGAAACTTCCCTTTTGGCTAATTCCAAACAAATATTAAAAATGTTTTTAATATAAAAGATGTATAAAATACACAACACCTTTTAAAGAATGATAAAAGATTTCAAATATTAAAATGTTATGAAAAATTGTAAAATAAAAAATGTTTTGAAAAATTGTAAAATAAAAAATGTTTTGTAAAAACCTTTTATAGTAAAACTATTTCTAAATTATGATATACGTTGTAGATATTGAAAAAGTTCATACAAAAATTTCTAAATATGTAAGACTTTAATAACTTTTACATTTATAGATATTGAAAAAGTTTATAATTTTTTTTCTCTAAATTTGTAAAAATCTAATATTTTTTTGGAATTTCTTAAAATAACATAATTAATGAAAGATCCAAAAAATGTTTTAAATATTTCACAAACACAAAAAAGAATCCTAAAACTAATAAATTTTAAAATTAACATCTAAATCCATAAAATTACATCATAATCTATAAAACCAACAAGCTAACATAAAACTAGTCTAATAATGTAATACAAATAAAAAAAAACTTAGAGGTTAGAAGGATAGGGAAAAGAGAGAATTTTGAGTGTGTTTTGAGATTATGTTCCTTTTTCAGGTAAATATACATATTAAGGGTTTCTAACTGAATACTTTTAACGTTCTGATTGTCCATAGCTAATGGGCTTTTCATATCTGGTCACTTTGTGTGGACCTTTTTCGTGGAGGGGTGGTGCATTAATTTTTAAAGTTTTTAAAGTCTTGTTTATTAATCTTGTAATCACTACATAACATTTTCTCGTGTTTTAGCTTCATTCACACGATACCCCGAATAACTTCTTGATAAGTCACCCATCTTTTCAATACTCCAGCTCAAAGCACACTTAACTCTACAGTTCTAACCGTATGTGTGCCTAAAAAGGTAAGTGCATTTTGGTAACATAGGTAGCCAAAGCGAATCTCTTAAACCCATCATAGACTAGAAATCGGGATGCTACAATTCACCTCCACTCACAGAATGCCACGTCTTCGTTGTGCACCAAGATCATTATCCATGTTAATGTGAGTCCACACAATAACTCCACACTCGTATGAGTTTGTCTCTGATACCACTTGTAACACCTTGGCAGCCAACAACTAATGAGTCTCCCATACCCTTTCACTTGGTCGGTGGCCCCATTATGTGTGACAGGTGGTGCATTAATTTTTCGGAGGCTCATTAGTCATGTTTGCTGATCCTAAAATCATCACATGTCATTTCTTCGTATTTTGGTCTCACTCACACATTACCGAAAATCATTTTCCGATCTGTCACTGATCCTTCTACTACTTCAACTCAAGCACATTTAACTGCGTAGTTCTAAACGGATGTGTGACGAAAAACGTACGTGCATTTTTTGTCACATAAGTAACCAAATCAATTCTCTTAAACCTTTCATCATATAATAGGATCGAAATGTTACATATTCCTTCTGTCATAAAGCCATCAAGAATAAAAATATATTTAATATGTCGAAAATTTGTCAAAAATTTTGTACTAATCGACGTAGTGGAGAATTGGTCAAGAATCTGTCGGAAATTCCCGATAAATGAAGTTACGCCTTGAATTCTTATACTTTCTTGTAGTGTTAGTTATGTGGTTCACCTTCTTTATATGTGTTTAAAACATACTAGGTGTTTGTCCGCAATTTTTCATGTAGTTATATTATATATATGAAAAATATATATTATGTTTACACTGTTATAATTTTTGAATATAAGTTAGAAATTTTAAAATTTTATTTTTTAATTTCAAATAGTTGGATAATCAAAATTTTCCGTATAAATTTTAGAAGATCTTTGAATTTAAAATAGTTAACAACCTAAACTTTAGTCATTAAATTTTTGTCTTCTACATAAAAGCAATATTATAACTAATTCAGATAATTGGTTGTTGAATTACTTTATATTTTATTTAATACGGGAAATTTTGGAATACTTTAACTGCCAAGAAAAAAAGAGAGTATTTTTTATGTAGCTCCAATATAACCAATATAATGATCGGGAGTTTTTATCATGAAAGTTTTTTGTAAATGTTTTTGTATGGATTTTAAAAACCATAAAGTTCTAATAATTCCTTCCCTACAAATATTATTCTTTTATATAAGAATATATAATCATTTCATTTATTTCTATAAAAAATGTTTAAGTATTTTATTTAATTATATATAAAAATTGATAAAAACAAAAAATTGATAAAATATATATTCTTGATTCATTTGTTGAAATGCTCTACTTTCAAAAGACAATGCGAGAATGGTAACATTCCAAGGGAAAACCGTTGAAAGGGTCCATCCT